TGACTGAAGGCCGCAACAATCATCCCAATACTATAGTATGACTTCCAAACTAATGAAATATGACACATACTATAGTATGACTTCCAAACTGATGAAATATGACACATACTATAGTATGACTTCCAGTAGGATGAAAAATGACACATACTATAGTATGACTTCCAAACTGATGAAAAATGACACATACTATAGTATGACTTGCAAACTGATGAAATATGACACATACTATAGTATGACTTCCAAACTGATGAAATATGACACATACTATAGTATGACTTCCAAACTGATGAAAAATAACACAATCTATAGTATGACTTCCAAACTGATGAAAAATGACACATACTATAGTATGACTTCCAAACTGATAAAAAATGACACAATCTATAGTATGACTTCCAAACTGATGAAAAATGACACAATCTAGTATGACTTCCAAACTGATGAAAAATGACACATACTATAGTATGACTTCCAAACTGATGAAAAATGACACATACTATAGTATGACTTCCAAACTGATGTAAAATGACACATGCTATAGTAGGATTTGCTTCCAAGTTCCACCTCTCTCAAGCACACAGCTTTTCCACAATGATCTAACAACTGTGGCCTGTCAGAGTATGTCATATAACACTAAAAGAGTTCTGATAAAAGTTATGAAAATCCTCTAATTTAGGAAAATATATTTTATATATTGCACACCTCTACCCTGTCATTATTAGTTTTACATGGTTTGTGTTGACTTTTGATGTGAGACTTGCTTTAGCACATTTTTACTATAATAAAACAAAGTTTTTTTTCTAAAAATGTTTTAATAAGTAGTTAGTTGTTGCATTATGGTCTGGTTCACAGTATTGCAATATAAAAATTGTGGCAACCCTACAGAATCTGACACCCTCAGGGTCTACTGATACATTAAGGCAGACTTGGGGAAGGGCCCCTTTACAAAGGTTTGCCTGGGGCCCCAAAATGTCTAAGTCCGCCACTGAAAAGACCACGCTCACAGAGGCACCCGTTAGTCAAGCTAGCAAGTAGCATAACAATTAGCATAATTATAACTTTTTAAAAACATTAATGCGAGCGCACAAAGAATGTCAAAATATTAGACAATAGTCCCATATGGCAGCCTCTTATTTTGAATTACATGTATTAATACGAAATATTATGGCACAATATTCTCACTGGGGTTAACTATACCTAGCATGCTACGTGGCTAACTCACTCACCGGAGTTTCCAAACGCTCATGAATCCTCAGAAACATTTCCAGCCCTGTTCAGAATCGGACCATAGGAAAATTAAAACTTGTTTAAATTGTTTAGAGCAATTTTTCTGTATTGCAACTACATGTTTTTAACCATACCTTTTCGCAGCACGTTTACGAACGCCATTTTAAAACGGAAGCGAAAGGACGAATGAGGAGCAGCGCGCCCTCTGCTGGACGGAACATGAAACTACAGCTCAAAACTACAAATATGGTGGTTTGAGTCTTCCAAAGCTTTTATTTATTTCAGGGTTTATAATCTACATGGAATGCATGCAGACAAACATATTTAAACAATTTTATGTCAACCGTGTATATAAGTTTATGTTATTATGTTTAAATAATTGTCTGATTAGTTTGTTGGTTATTTTATTAGTTTAACAAATATCTCTGTAGTCTATAACAACAAACTTCTAACTAAAATGTATAAACTGCCCTCATTAGGTTTCACATTTCAGACTTAACATATATAACTTTATCAAATATTTAAAATTATTCATTTCTAATAGTAAAATCTTTAAATGCAGCTAACTTGTTTTATTTATTACAAATAAAGACAAAACTGTAGTTCACTGTTATGCGACAACTTACAATAAAATAATCAAGACAAAGAGAGTCCAAAAAACCATTTTATTAGAATACAGCAGATATAAAGGTCTATTGCAAACCAAACATTCCCATCAGGATGGAAAATGTGCATCAAAAGACATTGAACACTCTGCAAGAGAAATAAATTAATACCAAATAGATAAACAGAAATAAAAATGAGAAAAAGAGAAATAGAAAAAAAAATAGTTTTTGTTCTTGCAGTAAAGAGGTGCAGCTCAAACAACTTGCTGATTAAGAACTCAGCAAACTTAAGTTTTAAACGATCACATTTTATTTCGAGCTCAGAAGTTTTCTCTGTGCAGGCGAAAGGTTTTGGTTTAACTAGAAAACTCAAAGTTCTCCCTGTTTCAATCACCAGGTGAAGTCTCAACATTCTGAGCCTAAAGGAAAATGATTCTTTTTAAAGAAATAACTTTTTTTTTGTTGTTAAAGAAACACCTTTTTTTTTACATTTTCTCCTCAGCTGTGTAATACATTGCAAAAACAAAGCAAATGAGACAAATTAAAGCTTTGCATTATAATAATAGCAGTCGATAAATTAAAATACAAATAAATCAAAACAGAAAATGATACTCCAATAAGATTACCCCTTATTCAGTTAGTATGCGACTCCTATTTAGTCAAATACAAAGATCTGCATCCATTTGATTTTTCCCCATTTTTAAATAAAAAATAGAGTCTAGTTTATAAAAATATCTTGTTTGATGTGTTTTAATAAATCATTTGAGGGGAATGGGGGCATAGAAAAGAATAATCTTACATGGGTGTATTATTTAAACAGACAAAAAGGACAAATAAAAACAGCTACATATCAAATATATTCTTTTCTAAATTTAAAATGTTGGTCTGTGAAGCCTAATTTAAGATCTGAACTGCAGATCGGACACAAACGAGACAAAAATTGTGTCTCATTGTTCATATTTGTTACGTTTTCATGTTGTCCCCGTGTGTTTTCTCCCACAGACTGAAAACATGCATGTTGGGCTACTTGGTAAATTTAAATTGTGCATGAGAGACTGAATGGTTGTCTCGTTTGTCTCTCTGTGTCCCTGTGATGGAATTGTGACCTGTCCAAGATGTCCCACACCTCTCACACAGTGACTGCCGGAGATAGACACCAGCTCCCCGAGACGTGGAGAGGAGAAGCATTAAAAGAAAATACGTCGGAGTGTTTATACCATCTTTAACACACAGACCACACAGTTTTTAGAAGAAACCCCCACCGCCTACACTCTTCCCTCCGACGTACGCTGCTGCTGAAGCGTGTACGCCTCAAAAATTAGTTTATTATCTAACATTTTTATTCCCATTTTATAACAACTTTTTGTAGCTTTTAAAATAAATTTCATACAAATCTAGAAATTAAACTTTAGAAATCTTATGTACATAAAAAATGTTTTTTTGTTGTTTTATCTTAAAAAAGAGACTACGAATCCATCTCCTGATCCATTTCCAAAAGGTTTACCAATAAAGGTACAGATCTATCACTTTGTTTTTTCCTTTCACATTTGAAAATGATCTGGAACACAGCTTCCACCGAAAACACCTGGAACGTTTTGTTCCCCACAATCCTGGATTATTTTAAGACAGAACAATAATCTGAGAACTACTGAAGAGGAGCTGTAAAAATCTTGTCCCCGTCTTGAATCAAAAATAGTTTAAAAAACTGATTTCTAAATGACACCGCTTTAAATGTTTTGGTTTTTTTACCCAAAGAGGTCGAGTTGAACAGACTGAGACAGAATGAGACCAAACCCATTGTCAGGTTTAATAGCGCCCCCTGTTGGTCGCTCCGCTCGCAGCAGGACCAGCTCCTGCAGCGCGAGAGCCGTTCTTTCCTCCAACCAGAGCTCCCTCGGGAAATCAGTAAAAGTGGGTTAAAGATTGCCACCGTCAGTGCAACCCCCTCCTGCTGTGTACCGAAACTCCTGCAAGTTGGACACACCGTGAAAATGGACAAAAGCCCCGGCGACCACCAAGATGTGGAACAGCTGGTGGGAGTGGAACTACAACGAAGAAAGAGAAAGAGAACAAGTTAAACGTGAGACAGAAGCGAAAAAGGTAAAGAGGAAAACGTGCAGAAGGTAAAAATTAAAGTAAAACACGTCTGTCGATTGCGTTCGTTACTCACCCAGATGTCGCACTTGCCGGGGAAGAACCTCTCGGGGATGCGAGCGGCGTACAAACAGGCGCCGGTGATGTAGAGCGTCGCCATGAGCAGCAGCCAGCCTATCTGACCGATGGTGGTGGCTTTGATCAGACCCTCGCTGATGACGAAGTGCAGGGTCGGAACCACGCCGCTCAGACCCAGACCCACAAACACGCCTGAGCACAGGAAGCAGAGCTCAGCATGAGTCAAACACAAACCAGGGTGGAAACGTTTCATCATTTTAGGAGAACGTTTGCTACACTTTAATAAAAAAAACGTAACAGTTGGACAAAATAGATTTATAATATTCATATAGCACATATATATAACCCTAACCCTAACCCTAACTCTAGATGAAATATATAGGTGGCAGATTGGCTCACCATTTGGCAAGAAACTGGTCACTTTTGTCTCTCTGTCAACCTTAATTAATGCATAATAAGCAGTTATTAATTATTTATAAACAGTTTATAGAGGAATTAATAACATACCTATAAAGTATTTATTAGCCATCTATAAGTGGAGCCTTATTGTGAAGTGGTACCCTTATTTCTTGTCAAATGTTTTGTGTAACTCCTCGTTTTAAAACCAAAGAAATCAGTGACTTTGTTTTCTTTTTGGTCACAAACAGCTGGATTTCACAGCTGTACAGAGAACAGATTGCTCCGTCAAGCTCTCCTAAAAAAAACACTTAAAGTCACATGTGTCTCCAATCACTGGTAGTTAGACTAGTTTATCTTTATAACTAGTAAAACAACAGAGTTAGAAGCCATGTTTTCATTCGGCTTATAGTCGCTTCAAAGATTACAGCTTGAAAAGTTAACTTCGGCTATGGACCTCTGCAGGCTGCAAGGGTGATCGGGTTTTGTGATCGGCACTGAAAAGCATTGATCGGTATCGGCTGATCGATCGGAACGTCTCTAGTCTAAACATAAATTTGATCATTCCTTGTAAACTCAAAAGCATGAAATTACTTTTAAAGGGCAGTAAAGGTGGTTTTTACCTGCTCTGACTCCTCTGTACTGCGGGGTAGCGAAGAAGTCGCACTGAGAGACAAAGATGGCCGCCAGTCCCAGTATGCACACAACTATCAGGTAGATGAAGCAGGGCTGAGGGGAGCAGTAGAAGGAGTAGTACAACCAGGGGACGAAGGAGCCCATGATCAGGAAGGCTATCCCACTGTAGTCCAACCTGAACGATACAAAACACAGATAACTACCGACTGAAGAGACTTCTTTCATCTTACCGCTGCAGAACCGTTTGCTTCTTACTTGGAGAAGACTCTGGACACTCCCTCTGAGTGACAGTAGACCGTGTGGAAGAGCCAGGAGAACGAGAGGCAGAGGATGGCTCCGAGGAAGAACATCCCGATTACTACCTTCTCCTGGATCGGCGCCACAAAAGACATGTTGGGCCTGAACATGTACATGAGACCCAGAAAGAGGAAAAACAAACAGCCTGTGGAGAAGAGAGGAGGAGAGACGAGGTGGGTAATTTTTAAGACGTGAACGTTAAATAAATGTTTCATCAAGTAGAAAAAGTCCCATATTGTTGAAGGACGTTCTCAACGTCTTGTTCTGGTTTAGGTGCAGTGTCAGCAGCTCACCACTGGGTGGCAGTAGAGCTACAAAATAACTTTTTGTCAAGTTCAAACTGAACAAAAAGCTTCTTAGGCTGACAGAAGTTACACAAAATCAAAGCAGTTTTTTTTTTTAAATAGGATTTGAAGCTAAAGTCGGTGTGTTACAAGTCCAGAGTTCATGACCCAAAACCATACGAGGTTCTCTGGATGTTCTTACAAAAACATCAGCTCAGCTTTCAACACACTTGTTATGCAAAGTCATACGCCCGTTTGTTGTTTATTTGTACCCAACAGCCTGATTACACAACAGTCTGGTTTAATTTAGGAGCAACTAGAGGATAAAACATAATTATTTTGTCATGAATGCGTTTATGCTTGCACATCAAGGATTAGCGCTTCAGTTTTAAATTAGGGACCGTGCTCGGGAGTGCCTTCACCTAGCAGATGTGTCCAGATGTTCCCGGTCTCCGTGTGGATTCTGAAGATGCTCTTGAAGCAGGCGCGGAACGAAGGCATAGGCGGCCTGTGACCGTGAAGCAGGAAGTCGTTGTCCTTCAGCCAGTCGGGGAGCACGTCGTGAGGGATGACGCGCCACCGGCCCTCCCACACCTGATGATTATTTACATGGTTTACAAACTGCTGGTCAGACGTACAGAAGCATCTCAGTGTTTGAATCCGCACGAGCTTTAACTCTTAGTCACTCCCAACTTGTTTGTTTTGATTCAAAACTCTCATGAAGGACAAAAACTGGCTCTGAAGGTCGAGCCAACACAAACAGGTTTCTTATCGTTAGCATTAGCGCTGATGTTATGATGTTGGTGCCTCCTGGTGCAAATGTCAACACTGATGCATATTTTGTCATCCAACCGTCATGTGACCATTTGTAGTGACCAACTGTGTTGGAATGTGGATGTTGAGAAAACCATTTAGTTTCACCTTTAAGCAAACTTTGGCTTTTTATAGTTTTTTTTTTGTTTTAATTTAATGCAGTTTTTACTAAATTAAAGGAGGATATTGAGCAGAAACAGTGAGCAGTAAAAATGTTGCAATAAGTTCAGTAGAAGGACAAGGAGGTAAAAATGTTGCATTTTTCTGCACCTTGTGTACGAACTCCTCCATCTTTTCCATGGCGTGGTGGGCTTGCAGCAGTGAGGTCATTCCCATGAAACCTTCGTCACTGCTTTTCTCCTCCTGCTGCTCCTTATGTTCTTCTGTTCCTCTGTCTTCATCTGCATTTATTCTCCCTCCATCACACTCTGGGACAGTCTAAAAAAAAAAAAAAAAAGAAAAAACTTCTCACTTAAAAGTCTTTGGAATAAATTAAAAATGGAAAATTGATATACCGAGTCCATCCACAAAACTTTATTGATCTGGACACTTTTGGAAAACACGACCAGAAAGGCTCATTCCTGGAAATGATTATTAATTATTGTTGCTTTCTGCACACCAGTGGTGTCTGATTATAAGACCGCACCAACGATGAAATCTTTTCTTGATCAGAAAACATGTTTATCACAACATTTCACTAGAAGATTTAATGTTTCATTAATAAAACAGAGTTTAATCTGTATAAACTGTTGAATGAATCATCTTCTGAAACAGTTCAATCAAAAAGTGAAACGATAACCAATATATAATTGGATTGAGATCATCACCTCTTAGGTAACAGATGGTACTAAATACAAACGGTTGAATTGAAAGGCAAAAAGCGATTAAGAACTCAGCTAACGTTTTATGACACAGACACTGATATTTACAAAAACTTGATGAAACCGTTCATTTGAATTTAGGCTAACCTAATTTTATCACAGCTGGGGAGTGAGAGACATAAATAATACAGCAAACAGTGATAATTGTGACACACACACGGTCTCACGCAGTGAAACGGATATACTTAAACAGTTTCAGGTGGAAAACAGTTTTTTTGTTTTTTTTTTACAAAGACCTCTGCTCTGTTGACGTTTCTAAAAATTAAAGTGAAAAACACAAGAAAATATTTGTAGAAGGAGGCGCCCCCTTGCGTTTGAAAATTTGCACTGTGGTTCAGAAACTTGTGAGCTTATCACGTTTAAGCCCTCGCAGCTGTAAACCAGCAGCACGTGTACGAACTTCAGCTGCTAAGACTCCAGCGAGTCATCAGACCAAAGGTCACCGAGTCAAATTTCACTCCGTAAGGAAGTGCGTTTATCTTCAGCCAAAGACATAATCCCATCCTTCTTGGAAGTGTCCATCAGGAGCTGATAGAACTTACTAAATGTCAACCGGCCTGAACGATCCAGTTGTGAGTGCAGACCGGTTTGGACTCTCATGGGACGTCCACGTGATCAGTAACATCATCAAAGCTGTTATGCTTCAGCGACAGCCACTTTCTTTCTCAGAAACTAATTTATGGGAAACATCCACACGTTTCTTTAAGAACAGTTAAATCAGAGGGAACATTCATTTATCTTGTTATTAAGTCTTATTTGCACATATTTCCAACCAGGGTTTGGCTCTACAGGTAATATTAGCATTATTTCAGAGTGAATCATTTCCTGAAACACTATTCAAACGTTGATGACTAATCCCTCACTCGGGCGTGCACGCCATCTGAGCACTGGAGCTGACCAATGAGAGCAGATGGTATTTTCTGAGAACTGCCCGCTCGTTCTTTTACGAAAGATGTGCAAACATCCACAATTCTTCACAACATGCATGTGTTGAATTCAGTAACAGAGTGTCACCTAATATATTTTCTACACGCACAGAGTAAGAAGTGTGTGTGTTTGTGTGTGCATGCTAAAAATAAACAGGCTTATCAGTGATCTGCAGACGCACCCAAAGTTTGAGCAACATAATTAAGTCATAAAGTTAGTTCGACGCTTTAGAGCCACTTTGGAGATGCAGGAATTATTTATTTATTTAATGGAAGAACAAATTCCTTAATACACCAAGTGAAGGCAGACATTTTTAATTGTCAGATAATGTCTGTGTGTATGCTTACTGTTTGTTAGCAAAATATCTCATGAACCACTGGACAAATTTTAACAAAACTTGTATAAAGTAATGAATAGAATAGATTTATGTTTACAACTGTTTAACTTTTGGAGTCAACTCTGTTCCAGCATCAACGTGTGGCATGGAGGCTGCACAGCTGCAGAAAGAAAAGCTTTACAGAGAGTGGTGAAGGCTGCACAGAAGTCTGTTGGAGTCAGTCTCCCCACCATCACAGACATCTACACCTCCAGATGCAGGAAGAGGGCCACCTGCATCATGAAGGACCACACTCACCCAGCGCACATTTTTTGCCCCGCTCCCCTCAGGAAGAAGGTTGAGGAGCATTAAGTGTAGAACCACTAGACTGAGGAACAGCTTCTACCCTGAGGCTGTTAGACTCATGAATCTCTAACCAGAATAGTCATGTTGCTGCTGATCCGTTTCATGTTGCTGCTGATCTGTTTCATGTTGCTGCTGATCTGTTTCATGTTGCTGCTGATCTGTTTCATGTTGCTGTGTTCATGCGTGCTCATCTGCTCACACAGACTCATGTTCGTGCTGCTGTTCGGCATATTGTGTTTATTGTTTTTATGCTATGAGTGCTTAGTGTATTTTTAGTTGATGTGTTTCTTAGTTCATATCTTAGATCTAATTACTGTTTTTCTTTTACATTTTATTGTTGGATGTAACTTGGACCCTGTGTATACAATTTCGGAACGACAATAAAGAAACTCTGACTGACTCTCTGACTGATTGATGATGGCTGCCACAGTCAGCTGACCCTAAAAAACACAAACATGGCTGTCCCTCAGTCAGGTTTAGATACTGAAGGAAATTTTAATGCTTTAGTAGCTGATGGTCATTCACAACACTCAGAGTAGAGCTTTAATTTAATCTAAATCATCAAAAGTGAACTGTTAAAAGTCTGATGCATGAATAATAAACGGTTACTCAGGTTGAAAGTGGTTGAAGCTTTAAGAAATAAAAACATTTAATGCAAGAAAGCGAGAACTCTGTCTTGAGTGAGTAAAACAGAAACAACAGAGGGCAGCACCCAGGAAACAGCTGTGAGCAAACAAGAACACAGCTAAAACTTTCTGTACCGGGAGGGCAGTGTGAATGTCTAACAGGGTGAGGAGTGAAGAAATACCCCCCCCCCTGCACATCGTCGACGCATGCCCAGAACAGAGATTCAACATGTGACTCGCATGTGAACAACTCGCTGTGCAGAAGAGAAAACACGGCCCTGAGAAACAGCATGTTCTGAACACACACACTGCGCTCTAGTCAGTACACTGTTTCTTTGTTCTTGCCTGTGAGAGCATGGAAAACTGAAACAGCACAACAACATAGTGATGTTTTTTTTCTAAATGTTCACAGTTTGAGTGTTTAAATCAAGTCACTTTCACCCCACAGCAAACTACAGGGGAAAAATTACAAAAAGGGAATAGAAGTAATGGCTCGATGCCTTAATGTAAGATTTTAGACTAAGGTCAGCCTTGTGTGACTTCATCTTATGCTCAGAGCATCTGTTGACTCTCAGCTGATACCACATCAAATTTTAGCTAGACATTTTTTTAAGTGACTAAGTTCCAGCCAGTTGAGTGTTTTAGGTTGTTCATCTAAAAAAAATTAAAAAATTTTAAAAAAAAAGTAATCATGAAGATCATTTGAAAGTGTAACCGTATTTCTGAAATGGGTATGGGTTAAAAAAAATCCCACACAATACTCTATATTATGGTCAAAGTCTAAAAATGTTGACAGTAAACTGTAGGATGTAATACCATACAAAGACAAATTTATAAACACAAAAAGCAGGATGCTCTAAAAATATATATTTTTCTCCTCATAGTTATTTTTTAGGAAAAATTAACTCATTGCTGTAATGTAACATCAAATGCAAAAATTAGAAGGTAAAAAAGATTAAACTGGCTCTAACTAGGGCTGAAAAATTAATTGCATTTGTGATAATATTGCGATACGATAAAATGAGATTTTCTAATCGCAAAGGCAGCGATTTGACTGGTCACATGATCTGGTTACGTGACTTGTGAGTGAGCGGAGCAACTCAGAGCAGAGAGCGGGAGAAGTCAACGCTGCGCTTTAACCGGTTGCACAATGGCTCGACAGAAGCCGACACATCTGAAAGTTTGGTACCAAAGAGCGGCAGCACGTTCATTGTTTGGAATTATTTTGGCTATTTAAAAAAAAAAAGACGTTGTGCAACGACGTGTATTGTGCAGAACCTGCCTTGCTGCTGTTGATACCGCTCAAGGTAACACCACAAATCTTTATCAACACTTAAAAAAACACCACAAAGCCATTTACGATAGTTGCATGGCTAGAATGCCAACGACCCATGCTTCAACTTGAAGTAAGCAAAGTAGCAGCCGACAGGGATCACTGACCGAACTGTTCGAAGGTTTTACTTCGTATGAACATAATTCAAAACAGCACGAGGAAATAACTCGAGCAGTAACGGAGTTCATTGCGAAAGACATGATGCCTATTAATATTGTGGCCAAGCCTGTGTTTATAGCTTTGGTAAACACAATGGATAAGTGGTACATAATGTCCTTGCGCACACATTTTAGCCAAGTTGTTATCCTGGAGCTACACAAAAAAATACAGAAGCAGAGTTGCAGCGGAGCTGAAAACAGTCAAGTGTTTTACAACTGAAACAATGATTTATTGCTTGCGTTTGTTGAAAAATACATGAGAAGAAGACATTGAAAAATAATTGAATATTAAATCGCAATATTGAGGTAAAAAAAATAATAATTGCAATTACAATATTTTCCAAAATTGTTCAGCCCTAATTCTAATAAAGAATTGTTACAGATTGAACCTGATGGCAAACAGGATGTATGAAACTGACCCCAGAGCTCACCACACTGTGCAAAACCTTCAAGACACACAATAACACGCACAGAAAATGTTTAAAGTTTTAAAAAGGTGGCAGATGGGGGTGTTAAGACACCGTGCCTTTGCTGACTGCAGCAGGAGGCCTCTGAAACCTTCTCAGGTGTCCGTGTTGCGTTACAGCAGGTAAAAAGGTTCAACCCCAACGCTCACAGAGGCAGACGCACAATAGACGCGCACAAACATTATTGTGTTTCGGCTCAGCGGCTCTCTGGTGACTGCCTTTCACGCTGGACAATAGAGCGACAGCTTTGACCGTGTACACACACACAGTCTAAACAGGAGCACGAGCCGGAGCCACAGAGCTTCAGCTTGATTGGCAGCCATCACGGGAGATTTTAGATAGACTCTGCGTGCAACTGGACGCCACATAGGGGCGGAGCCAACCTCATCATAATGCAGCCTGATGACTACAGCACAGAATGACTCATCGACGAGTCTTCTCAGCCTTCAAAGTGTCAATAAGACGATGGTGGAGGCTGTAAACCATCGTAAACAGACTCGCTCGTGACCAAACCGCGCAAAACCAAGACCCAAGCAGTTGCTGCCAAACATTATAAAGTAATCCATTCTCCTCAGGGCCTCAGCCACAGCTTTTTCTTGTTTTGCTTCAAAAGAGTCAGACTATCTTCTGATTTTTAAAGCCATCCTGAGCAACAGTCCTCTAAGCTTTCTTATAGTCTCAAATGACTAAAAAATTATTGTCCCAACATATATTAAACTTAGGGATTAACAAACTTTTTTCTAAAAGTTACATTTAAAAAAAGTGTGTGCTTTCTTTTAAGACAACTATATCAATACAGTGGTCCCTTGTTTATCGCATATTCGTACCCTGAAGCCCGTGATAAGTGAAAAACCGCGAAGTAGGAATAGTAGTACTAGTAAATAGTAGTTTATTATATAAAGGTGTTTTAAACCCTTCCCATTACTACAATATTCTAAACATGTTGCTGAACTCTAAACACTCTAAAAGAGAACAGAAAGTCATGAAATCAGCTCTCTGCCACGCCCACTTCTCCGCTGCAGAGAAGAAGCTTCACCTGCAGCTGTGGGCTGCACAAAGGTGCAGCAGGTGCTAAATCATTAAAAATAATTTATTTTAAATAAAAAATTCCATGACGATCGTGCGGCTCATCCATCAATCAGCCAACTGTGTGTCATGTCCAATCTTATTTTGAAAAACCGTGAAGTAGCAAATCCGCAAAAAAAAAAAAAAAACCTACGAAGTAGCGAGTGACTACTGTATATGGGTTTATGAACTGTGATGTTGTTCTTGTTTTTCTTTTGGCTGTTCTTTTCTGTAGGGGTCGTCACATTGAGCAAATTTCAATAAGAGATTTGGCTTTTTTTTCTGCCTGATGCCTTTCCTGATGCAACCAGAGCTCGAACCTAAAGCCTCCAGATTACAGTACCGCAGCACTGACCACCAAGCTACTGCAGCCCAGTTTATAAACAGTGCATGAGAGTTTATTGTGTCGTTAAAGACCGTTCCTATAATCCACAGCCTTGTGGACAAGTGATTAACCTACATTAAATACTATTTAATGTACGTGCTTGTGACTAACGCACATCTAATCTAGCAATAATCTACATGAAAGAGCTGTGTGTGTGTGTGTGTGTGTGTGTGTGTGTGTGTGTGTGTGTGTGTGCATGCGCACGAGCACGTAACTTTTCAGGACTTTTTCTGATGTAATCATCTGCCTTGTCAGAATTAATAGCTCTTGAAGAAACAATCCTAACATGGTGGAACCTCATTTTGGAGTTTGGGGCTAAGGTGCGTGCTGGTTTAGGGTAAGTGTCGGGGTTAAGTTACACAAATGTTGCCGTATGACCCTGTAGGCCTGTCACAATTACAAATTATGCTGGGCGATTAATTGTCTCAGAAATTATTGCAATAAACGATAATATTGTTAGAAATTTGACAATAATTAGTAATTATTGTCAAATTTAAGAAGAAATGTTGGTTAATTTGTTTTGCATGTAGAACCTTTTTTCGACAACCGGATGGCAGTTTAAGACTGTTTGAACCGAAGGATAGATAGTGAGGGAGCGAGCAGCCTGTCTCTTTAAGAAAAATGGGATGGAGGGCCCTTGACGTGACATAGGCTGTCTCTCGTTCCTGTTCTTCTATTCTCAAAATGCCGAACGCTCGTTGTGGTTTGAGCTCATTAGCATAGCATTTTTCACACAAAGCTTTTAATAAAAATAAAAAAAATTAGTGAACAAGTTCTCGATTTATTTTTGCAGAGAAAAACAATTTGTTTACACGAAGGTACGGGTTTCAACAATGAATTTTGAAGCTTCGACAAGACGGAGGTTTTTTTTCCCCGAGGTCGGCCTATTAGCTTAGCTCGTAGCTTAGCTTCTCAGCTTAGCAGCTTTTAACGATCCAAAAACGTGATTTTGGACGGTTAAAATGAATTTTAAAGAGAAAGGGAGGGGTCAGTGAAAAGCACTGGAGTTGAGCCTTTTGTCATCCAGTGTCTTCAGTAGAAAGAGAGAGACATGAAGAAACGATAAAGCTGATAAATGAAAATCAGGTCGATAATTTTCATTTATCATGCGATTAATTGATTTATTGTTTATTGTGACAGGCCTACGACCACGGTGTTCGAAGCCGGCTCCTTATTCCCAGGTGGAGAGAGGACTCGCGCAGACACAAATAACGGCAGAAAAGAATAAAGTTTTAACATTTAATTTCTATTAAGGCAGATAAAAGTTATATAATTAGCGCTGGACTTCGTCTCGACACGCCGTGATCCGGAACCAGAAACGAAGTGCCGTACCCACCAGACACTCAGCTTTCTTCGACTTTAGGATGTGAGCGCAACCTCATTGGATCAGTAATGAAATATGTGTGGCAATAAAGCTTATTTGGTTCAAGCTAAGCGCTTTCGGGTGTTTGTGTGCAACTGTCCTTGTGTGCATGCAGCAGATAAACAAAACACTCTCCTAATATGGCAAATGGCTCCAAGTGGCTGCAGAAGTCTGACTGACTTCCTGTTTCCTTTAACACTTTAAACATCATTGGAGGACATATGTTACACAAATTAATAGAACTCAATGTCCTAAAATGAGTAAAAAACACAAACTTGAAAAAGGCCTGCTCTTGTGCGTGTACAAAGTGAAGCGGCAAAAACAAATCTCGTTCATGTCTTTGACTTAAAATTCTAAATGTCAGATTAAATATCAATGCTGGGAAGAAAAGTCCAGTAAATAACTTTTATTATCAAACAAGCAGACCGGTTAGCGCTGCGTCCTTCCCCATTAACAAGAACTGTTGCATTATTCACGCGAGAATGTGAGTTTTGGTTTACAGTGTGACCCAGAAACTCGCTTTGAGCCCATCCCCTGACAGCATGCATGCGTGTGTCTGACACTCACCCCATTGTGTGAGGGGCACTCTGTGGTGCTGAGGTGACTGGTTGAAGAGCCTGAGGTGGGTGAGTCTTTCTCCCGTGGACTCATGGGACTTATAGGCGAGGAATTTTTAGCATTTTCTATTAGATTTGAAGTTCGGTGTCGCAGCACGAAGGTCGGGCCGTCGGCCCTGCTCGTCTCTCCTTCTTCCAGCTTGAAAAACTCGGCTGTCCTCCACCAAAAAGAAACAGAAAAACCAGCTGGAACTGGACAGAAGACTTGTGGGACAAACGCCAACAGTGTCCAAACCTGATAGGACTAAACAAATATTGGTGGAAGTTTAAAGATATACAACCCCAAGAAATGCAAACAAAGAAAAATTAAATACAAGTCAAAGGACGAACCTGGCTTCCAACTGAAATCTTTGGACTGGACTGAGATTTTGAGTCAGGACTTTAGGAGATGGACTGCAGGGACAAACAGAGACAAGATGATAATTCATTATTAGAAATATCAGCATATATTACAGCTTTTAGAGAAGAGATCAATTGAAATTTCCAGGTCAGTAAGACATTAAAATGATGCAGTAAATTATAAAACAATACCTGCAAAAAACGAAAATACATCTACAAAAATACCATCTAAATCCCCAAATCACAAATAATACCTTAACACTTTGGTTTAAACTGTCCAGACTTAAAATAAAATAATGGAGGCACATCCTTGGAAGATAACAGGATTCAGTCCACTTCAGAGTCGCCACGCGTTTCTGAAACCATCAGGTGTTTGTAAGTTTAAAGCAACTGTGCCCAAAAGATAAAGATGTGAGCGATTAGTGTTTTGTCTCTGTCACTCAGCGTCATCTACAGTATGGCATCAAGGCATTCAAATGCTGTTTCTTGAAACACTTGCTGCCAACTTGCTGTCATGGGGAGTTGCTTAGCGACAAGAGGTGTCACGGACGGGAACGGCAGATTCCCACACTGGAAGTAGATGCTGCTCAGAAATAGTTTTGCTGCACAGGATCGTTTTAAAAAACTGAATGTGACTTGAAGGAGAGACATAAGAATTCAAAATAAACACGCTGTCATCACCGAGTGTGTAGTAAAGCGCAATATTAAAAGGGTTGCCACGCCAACAACATTCTAACGCTCATTTACTTTAGAATCACTATATGAAGTTGTAAATATGGCACTTCAATTAGTCTTTGTAAATGATATCAACGCTTTAATATCCTGCAGCTGATGAGAAAGGCAGCTGCACAATCATGTCAGCATACTGCTGCTCGCTTTATGTTTTCCTTTCCTCCCCCCCCACTGTAAAACACATATACACTGGGCTCCAGAGGCACCAAGTCACTGTAAACAAGGCGAGCACCGGGCTGCTCATTTAAACCCACAGTGTGCCATTACACACACACTGAGGGATTATAGACTCAACAACAAAACAATAAACAGAAATATATACATGAGAATTACTTTCAAACATATTCACACATAACTGAAGGTCTGATTAATGCAAGTAAAGGAAAGCATTAGTTACAAAATTACAGTTTCATAACAGATAGTGGGAAAAATTAAGCACTTTTACAAACTTTCTCAATAATTTGTAAAACTATTGGGCAACTGCGGCTTCCAACTAGTATGAAAAGTGTATTACAATTTTTTCTTACCACCAGCCATGGATTAAACAACTTTTGACGGTTGTTTCTGTAGCTGGTGTGAGTTCCCAGGATAATATGGGCTCTTGTGGCCTCACTGTCACACAAGAACAAATAACCTTTTTTGACAGTCTGAAAAGGTGGAACAGTCTGCATTGTGTGGTTTTATAAAAAAAACATTGTTGCAAATGTGATGGCCCCATGGTCAGAGAGCAAGGAAGCAGAAGGGGTCCAGTTTAGCTGCTTTGCCATTGGTAAGTGAGACTTCACTCAGCTCTCGTCTCATTGGTTCCTCAGGTGTAGGTGATTTGCCACTGTGACTCATTTCCCTGGTCTGTGGATGGGACAGTCAATGCAAAGTGAGCAGTATCGTAACAGGTCATCGGGTTCAAGAAACTCAGCTCGTTGTGGTCCATAATCACCTTATCATCGGACTTCAGTTCTTTTAGCTTATCCTGGTAAGTTCGGGTGTATCCATGCTGAGCCATCATCTCCGATATCTCTCGGTAAATGCGATCATTTCTTGTGGTGACGTCCAGCTCACGCTGAATTCTAACATCGGTCAATAAAGTTAGGTAGGTCTGTACCTCATTATTGGTCCACGGCACAAATTTGTGTTTACATACCAGAAACTAGCAAAAATAACACACGCTCAACACGATCAAAGAGGAAATGGAGGTTCGGATGTAGCTTGCAGGTCATTCAGTGTCGTAGCTCCGCCGGCCAATCAATGACTGCTGCCTGCTCATGTCAAATTCATCACATCAGCACAGTTTGATGGGAACCACGAACAAGGTGGTCCCCTGGACCACCAGAACCTGTGACAGCCCACTGGGCTGAGTGGGTACCCGCAATGGACAGGCCCTTAAATGGTGCGGTGTGGAACCGATGAGTGTACAGACAGTGGTAAAGAACCATTTTATGGCCTGCTGTCATCATGTAGTGGTCTTCAACTCTCACTGGATCAGTTCACAGTCGAGTGTGAAGCAGCTGGAATAACGATCAACACCTTCAAATCTGAGGCCATGGTCCTCAGTCAAAAAAGATGTGAACTACTCTCGATGGATTGGGAGTGATGTGCTGCCTCAAGTGGAAAAGTTTAAAGTATATCTGGGTGTTTGTTCATGAGTGCAGCTACTGCAGTATTGCGTACTCTTTGTCGGTATGATGCGCTGATGAGGGAGCTGATCTGTAAGGCAAAGCTCTCCGTTGACTGGTCAGTCTACATTCTTACCCTCACCTATGGTCATAAACTCTAGGTAGTGGTGGAAAGAACGAGATCACAGATAAAGGCGGTTAAAATAAGTTTTCTCTGCAGGGTAGCTGGACACTCCCTCAGAGACAGAGTGAGAAGTTCAGTCATCAAGAGAGACTCAGAGTAGAGCCACTGCTCCTCTACGTCAAGAGAAATCACCCTGGACACCTCCCTAGAGAGGTTTTCCAGACATATCCAACTGGGAGAAGACCCCAGTAAAGACCCAGCACACACTGGAGAGACTGTCTCTTTGGTGGCCTGGTAACACTTTGGAGTCCTCCTAGAAGAACGACCAGACAAGAACAAGCAACAGATAACAGATGGAAGGATGTGATGAGTGAATTATAAATGTTACTAAACAATTTTAAAATCCAGTTCTGTAAAGCTGCAGATTGCAGTAACATTAAATGCAATGAAAAGTTCACATACAGAGAGAACAAAAAAAACACTGTTTAAAAAGCTTGGCATAGTGCATAAATAAATGTCATTCTTCTTTGTCAGCTACCTGGAGAGTTTAACATGCATAACAGAATGCCCAAGTAGTACATTTACACACAATTACTGGCACAACTTGTAAAAAATAACCACAGGAATACAGTTGCATAAAAAAAAATTAAAAAACGGGTCAAAATTATCCAGAATGAGTCAAAACAGATTTTAAAAAGTTGCCTGATGGACACAAAATATGTTAAATAAAGCTATGTCTCAACCCAAATGGCCAAAATCAAGAGGGGATTTTCCAGGGTCTACGCTGACCACTATGTTGTTCTGGTTCTAAAACCAGATGACACTAGAGCAGGATGCAGAATGAGTCATGTTTTATGCAGTCAATGACCACAACAGCCACAAAAGAGTTAACAAGAATGCATAGATCCTTATATTCTAATAAAAAAAACTATTAACTATCCATTTTTACCATCAGCTGTGGTTTTACCAGTTATATTAGCTCAGACAGTAGCGTCAACATGAAAGTCAGTGACCGCCAGAGGAATGAACACAAAGATAAAAACAGACGTTGACTAAATGACCTGCTGCCTGAATTTGTTCTTGCTTAATCCCCACAAGTGCACCCTTGAGTTTCATTTCCTTTCATTGGAACTATAACTTCAGTTTCATGTGCCTTTAAACCTTCTTCTACACACATAAAAACCAAGCTATCATTTTCGACAGCACAACGTCAGCGAGGACGTCTAAAAGGCACCGATTTCCACAAAAAAAATTGGCGTTGCGATTAAAGTAGGAAGATGATTTTGCACTAGGGTTCATTTATCAGACAATTCTGTATTTGTAAGAACTGCTGCGAAAAAAATTTTGGAAAAAATCTTTAGTTTAGTCTTTGTTCTAACATCGTCTTCATCTGCATTTTGTGTCACTGCTTGCTTTGGGTCTGATAACACAATTTCAAAGCTTTACTTGCACCTTCCAGGTACTGTTATCCAGTTTTATTTTATTATTATTTAGTGAAAACACTCTTAAAAAGGAGGCTAAAAAAAACTGAACAATACTGGTTTATTTGTTTCATAAGGAAGACATGTCAGTAACTATTGAAGAACAATAAACAAAAATAAAAACCATAAAATAGAAGACAAACTGATCTCTTCTATTTATTCTTCTTAAAATAATAGAGGCGGGAGCTTGAAAAAGAAGAAACGAAAGTAGGAATTTCTGGCTATTGAGAAACCATTTAGATAAAAGTGCTGAGGCAGAACCTGTGACAGATTAAATCATATGGCTACCACCATACCTATAAACAACAGGGGATGAGACTTTGCTAGACGACGATGAAGCTTTAGGAACATTTTAGAGCTAACAGATTAACAGCATAATCGAAAGAGACTTCAGTGAGCAGTAGGTGAAAAGCGCTGCTTCTGAAAAATAAGGGAGGAAACGGTGTGTGTGATGAAAAGTGGCAGAAAACACAAGTCAATAAACTGTTTCTACTTCATGCTGGTTGCCAGATCTTAAACTCCCCTTGAGGAATGTGTGGGTGTTGAGAAACCACACAGACATGTAGGTCACAGACAATTTAAAAAGGTAAACACTTGTTTTCTTTACTCACATTTAGAAGGAAGGAAAATGTAGGTCAAAAGTCACGGCATACAAAACAGAAAAGCAGTTTTCAATTTGTTGACAGGGGGCTTAGTTTATCTACTGATTGCTCGTGTTTTAGAATTTTTACAAAATCCTCATTGTTTAATATGTTGAGGTTTAAACTGGTTTTTAGCCATAATACAGATTTGTATGTAAATCTAGTTTCCAGGAGACCAGCTCCCAGGGCTTTATCTTTGTCGGTCCTTACGACGAGCTGGTAATGCCTGACTTTTCCCTTTCCATGTGCGTTTTCTGCGTGAGTCACTATTTCAGACGTGGCCTGAAGCTCGTCACCTGCTACGTCATTACGCTCTCCCTCACACATGCAGTCATAACACAAACTGTTACACCAGGCTGCAAAGCATGCTCTTCATCAAAAAATTCCTCCTGCAATAATTTCTTTATCAAAAGCTTTAGTTGAGCTTTGCTTATCTTACATCAGCACGATGCTAAGCTTTCTC